ACACACACACACACACACACACACACACACACACACACACACACACACACACACACACACACACACACAGCTGATATCACCTCAGCTCTCAGTGCAGTAACCTTTTGTAACCAGCTCCACATAAACTGTTTGATCAGACGTTTTCATCACTCTGTGATTGGATGAGATGAGAGAAGCAGCAGTCAGTGTGTACACATTTAGATGAGTGTGTGTGTGTGTGTGTGTGTGTGTGTGTGTGTTACTGATGTTGTGGGGACCTAAATCTGTGTCTGCAGGCTTTTATGAGGACGTTTGTTATCTGCACAGGAAGTAAACCTTTGCGTCTTTCTGCTTTGTCTGTGGTGGTGAGACGAGAGGCGGAGCCTGCTGTGCGTTCACGTTTCTGCTTCATGCACAGACTTCACACACAATAACATAACAACATCGTTTTATAGATACAGCAGACCATCTTTTTCATTGAATTATGTGCTGTAGATGCTAAATAAAGGCCAAGAAAACAGGACGCCGGGGTTTTTGAGATTGGATATGCAGACCTTTGATTTGTGTGGTATCGTGACCTACCACTGACGGGACAGTCCACAGTGAGGTTGGCGCCTGGACGAATGCTGATTTGTCCTCCGACAGTGGCTGTCAAGCTGTGGCCCAGCATCCCCCCGTGGTCTGAGACGTTCCTCCAGGACACCGCGATGGCCGGAGGCTCTGAAGATTCACACAAACTGCATCAGCCACTGAGCTCCCATCACATCCTCCCGTACCCTTAATGACAGTATATATCAATAAAGTCGTGATTCGACAACCATTAGAAGAGTCTCCAGGTTTTTCCAAGGATACCTAGATGAGCAGAGACCACGACTAACCTCTGATGTAAAAACATCTATTTTGCCTCAAATATCCCACAAACTCCTCATTTCAGAAAAGACGTTCATCAGTTACTTCTAGGCGGCTTTCGAGGGTAAAGAGTCCAGATTTGTGATGAACCTCAGACAAACTGTGTCCAGCACTGCAGCCCGTCCATGTAAGTGTGAGACAGTGGTGACAAAGTGAAGTTGTACTGCTCTGAATGGTTTAGGACCAAAATACATCAGTGACCTCCTGACCCAGTATGAACCTTCCAGATCCCTCAGGTCATCTGGATCCGGTCTGTTATCAGTTCCCAGAGTCAGAACCAGACACGGAGAAGCTGCATTCAGCTTTTATGCTCCTTATATCTGGAACAAACTCCCAGAAAGCCTCAGATCAGCTGAAACACTCAGTTTATTTAAATCCAGGTTGAAGACTCACCTGTTCTCAGCTGCATTTGAATAAAGCACCAAATCCACACTTTAAGCTTAAATTTCAAAACTTACATTTAACCACTGATTTTATCTGTTTTGCTTTTATCTGTTTTGTTTGTTTGTTTGCTTGTTTTAATCAATTTTAAATCCTGCTTTTTATTTGTTCTTGTTTCTAATGTCTCTGTAAAACACTTTGAACCACCGTGTTGTTGAATTGTGCTGTACAAATAAACTTGCTTGCCTTGCATTCAAAGTTCATGGTAAATGACACAGAGGCTGGTTAGACACAGGAAATGACATCACTGTGTCATTGGCATAGAAATGGCATTTTGCACTTTTGGGTTTAATCACTCACTTTCCTCAGAGAGTAACTGTAACGTCCGCGTGGAAGTTATTTAAATTACAACATCGAACACAGAAACTGCACATTCAATATTAGTTCCTGTTAACCTTCTGATTGTCTGGACATAAACAGAATAAGAAAAGATCAGATTCAACTGTTATTTCTTGTGCCAACAGATCAGCTTCCCGAACTTCCGGCTGATTATTTTGTGATCAGTGCTGCAGCCTTACTGGATACAAACATTCCTGAATGAACATGAATCAATCTGGAAGGATACCCCCCCCCCAAAAAGCTAAAAAAATTAGTTTGTGATTCCAGGACTGTATAAATCATTAAACCCACCACCCGGGTTTGTTTGCAGTCATGGAGCAGGCTGAGACGGAGCCACAGCGTTGTGTTCCTGTAGATCACAAGTGGAAAATAATCCCTCACACACGACACCAGTGGAAAAGAAGAACTGGGTTCATGTTGTGAACAAACACAGCTGTCCCACACTCTTTTCTGCAGGCTGAGTAAGACGGTGAAATCTGTAAACGTATATATTTATAAATCCATTTATTACCGCGCGCTCACAGACAAAGCAGGCCGGGATTGATATTCATCAACATAGTTAAGAAAAGCCACGAGGGAAATTACAAAACCTCCACTGGAACTGGAGAAGATGTGCATACAAATGCAACCTTACGTGAGACGAGTGAACTGCAACAAAGAGCACACCTGCCAGCAGCAGCTGGGAAGCCTCCGAGTCTGAGCCCAGCGCGTTGGCAGCGGCGCACCTGTACTGGCCTCTGTCAGACGCTCGGAGCTGCAGGATGTGGAGGCCCGCTCGATCCCAGGACACCCTGCGGACACACGAGGAAAACATTTTTACTTTTTACCCAACTCATGCCAACAAGGAGAACACGGCTTCCTCATATTCCCGTACTTCTTTCAAAGTGGGGCAGCTAAAACGGGCGAAGAGTCTCCGCTGAGGGACTGGTGAATAATTTTGGATACAGAGGAAGTTTGTTGAGCTGTAGATGAGGAGATCATCACCCAAACACAGAGAAACACAAGGAAGAAACTGCAAGTGCTATTTTATTGTTCACAGAAGAAGCCTGTAGCTCTCTAACATTCTAAACCTGACGTTTTGGGGTTTTTTTGCAAAGCCAGGTGTCGTTATATTAACACAAACGTCGCACCTTTGTTCCCCCTCCCGCCCACAACCTCAGAGTGATGTCACACCTTGAATATCAGAATATAATCGCTGTCAGAGAATGTTACATTTTAACAAGTGTAAATGTAACAAACAGACTGAGCTGTGCAGACAACTTCTGTAAGGTTTTATTATTTGTAGCAGCAGGTTAAAAAATCTTTGGTAAAGCAAAGTTTTCAGGTACCAGGATCATCTTCTCATAACAGAAGCAAGTACATACAAGAATCACTGAGAGGAGATTGATTAGAGGCTTCGTTATGCAGTAAGAGTCTGTCAGACAGCTGTCAGCTACAACGTGAGGAGATACGAGTGCGTCGCTACGTACAGGTGGGCTTTAGACTAAAACAACACTCCTCCCCTGTAAGGGGAGCAAACAGCACCGGGCCAAAAGAACCAGAGAGCTGTCCACGTCGCCGGGCTCAGCGACGCCCCGTCTTCCACACTAAGCTTTGCAGCAGTACAGTTACTAGAGCGATATTTGAAACCACGGTGCTACAGCACACACACTCTGACGTGCTGCAGCCTTTTAAAACTGCTCTGCAGCTCTGTATTCCAGACAGCAGTGATTTGCATGTAGATCAGGCACTCATAACTGTTCTCCTTCACTGCAATGGAAGAGACGTACTTGTTCTTTGATCTGCGTCTCTGCCGTAATAACACAGACGTGAACTTTTCACTGACGAATAAAAGAAATAAATGCTGCAGACCCAGTAAATCTGATAAAAGTCCTTTTTAAAAGGTCAGTCAGCAGCACAGCGTGATGCAGAGCTAACTTCAGCTGTTATCACGCTCAGCTCGCGCCACAGTTTCAGCACTTTGATAAAACTCAGTCAAGGGCGGCTGCAGAACATTGTGTTTTCCTCTGCAGCCCACAGGTCTTGTAAATGTCAATCAAGTGTTCGTCTCACTTGGGCGTTCAGATTCCCGACCGTCCTCAGAGCTTCTTTCTCTCGCGCTCAGATTAAAAGAACCGTCTGACATATTTGGAAATGTGTTTGTTTACCGGCTTACCCGGCATCAAATCGGAAAATCAATAGCAATTTCATCTCAGCGCATCTTACAGACAAGTTCAGGACGTGATTAAAAGCAGCTGAGCGCCACAGCAGGGAGGCGGAGGCTAGCACCACCTGTCGTGGCTTGTTTCCTCCTTAAATCACTTAAATAAACAGGAACACGAGGACTCCTCTCATACTGAAACTAGCAAATATCAAAGCGTTTCTTTTAGATTTGCTCTCAATGTACAGACATGAAACTGATACTGATTTTCTTTATCTGACTCATTGTGCTGAAAATCTCTAAGGAAGAGATGAGCAAGAGGAGAAGAAAATGATGAAGACCTCAGGAGACAGTCAGACCAGTTCAGTGGAAAAGCCTCGGCCATCTCTCCACAGCAGCTCGTTCGTTTTACAAAACTGGGTTTTCAGCTCATCAGGTCACAAAATGATCAGACTGCAGCCACGAAACACAGAACTGTTGCTGAACTATGAAGCCGAAGCTCACAAAACTCCTCTAACGTCCCCCAGACATCAAAGGGTTTGTGCCATTACCATCACTGCCAGAGGGGGCGTCAAAGATCCCACACTATGGGCTTAATCAACACGATGAGGTTCAATCGTTTGCATATCACAGGAGGAAAAGTTGCTACAGAAACACGGAGAGAAAAAACGATTTAAACATAAGCTTTCGAACTGTTTGCTGCCACGTTTTCTGGACTTTTATCAAGACATTAATCAATACGCCATCCTGCACACTTTGCAGAACCAATCAGTGGCATGATTTGGACCAGGCCAGTTCAGCAGGTTTAAACCTGACTCATGACGACAGCGGCGCAGGAGCCGGCCGGCGAGCTCGGAGGATCAAGAAGAGGTCGTGTTGTGTAACGCATCGGGGCAGAAACGCTCGGTCGTGCTGTGATTGGCAGCTCCTGCTCCCACGCATGGGCTCCCTCGCAGTGAGTCGCAGCTCGCAAACCTCCATCAGCATTTCACAAGTTCCAGTTAAGAAAATCGAATGTGTTTTTGAAAAGGGTGGGCTGACATGGACGAAACTACACGAGTGCAAAATGTGCGGTCATCCTGCTTCATCAATATTCACTCAGTGAGGTTTCACATCCAAACACTGCATCGTCACACGGCCTGTTAAAATGAGCATCACGGCTCAAAGTCAATAAACCCACTGATAAAATGTGCCGGCTCACCTCATGTGCCAAAACTTTCATCTGTGGAGGGACCGACTTTATAAATCAGTGAACAGAATAAATGATTCACAGCATTCTCTCATTTTACTTTCTCAACCCGTGAGGCTGGAAACAGCGCTCAGACTCACACACGGCTCCGACCACCTCAAACTGAACGTCTGACCTAAAGGATCAATGTTTGATATCCATGACTTAGAGGCTACAACTAATTAAAAATAGCACAAGGACAGCACAGTGGTACAGTGGTGGCCTCACAGCTAGAAGGTCCAGTTCCACCATCAGCCCACATGTGGAGTTTGCGTGGGTCCTCTCCGGTACTCCAGCTTCCTCCCACAGTCCAAAGACATGCAGTTAGTGGAGTTGGGTTAATTGCTCATTCTAAATTGTCCCGGGTGTACCCCGCCTCTCGCCCTAAAACAGCTGGATAAATCCAAGAGGATGGATGCATAACAAAAAGACTAAATACCAGCTTCTTGTAACAAATACCTGATCATTTTTACCTAAAAAGTAAAAGTAGTGGAAGACAAATGTTTTGTCTTGACAGCTGAGCCTTCGACCACAGATTAGACAGAGTTACAGACACATCAGCAAAAACCTGAACGAGGTTCAAACTCGTTCAATGTTCTGCAGACCTGATAAAGGCGATAGTTGGGTCGGTGATGTGGCGTTTTGCTGAAGCCTCCTTCAGTCATGCTGCTGCAGGCTCAGGCCGCTGGGTCCTCCCACAATGCACCAGCAATTCTCCTCTGTACTGCTTACAAGAGGTATCGTAGTCACGTGCTCAAACCTTTGATCAGAACTGATAAATGACTTCCTGTCAGGCTCAGAGACGGCACTCTTTAAATAAACAAGCAGAACTAATCGGGAAAGCTGTGACTAGCCTGGTGTAGAAGCTCATACCATCGACCGAGGCGGTGTCAGTAGTAATTATGACTGCTAGTTAACACCGACTGATTGTGGAAGTGAAAAACACGCATTCAGCCTCTTTCAAAGACTTCCTGGGGAGTCACTGAGAACCAGGGGCATCAGCAAAGCAGCAAACATGTGGGAAGGCCGGGGAGATCCACCGGTGTAATTAGCTTCCCAATTAATTCACTGTGAATATTTCCAGGCTTCATCTGTTGCAGCTGGAAAAGATCACAAAGAGAAACATGAGCTGTAGCTAATTAACAGAGTGAGGAGGAGGAGAGCAGCTAACACGCTGCAGTTGGAGAAGTGATGAGGGGCAGCGAACGCAAAGATACAGGAGCAGGGCAGGTGAGGGAAGCTGCTTCCTCATTCTGTTCCTCTCTGCTGTGACTCTGACTGACTGCACGAGCTAAATACACCCAGAACTGGACCCTGGAGGCAGCATCGTGTCAGCAAATCACAGGAAAACTCAACAAGCTCAAAGTGCTGTTTGAAGAAAAAAACCCTGAAACACGTTCTCATGTTGGATGCTTTCAATTCTGAGAAGTGGGAAACACTAGACTTTATTTTGAAAAGCCAGTAAATCTGTATGCTCCTTTTGTCACCTTAAGTCTTTTATTTTGACATTTTAGGAAACGTCAATGTGTCCTTCGACTCTCTGAAGACTTTAATTTTGAAACTCAGACACATCATGAGCCTGTAGCATATGCTACCTACCGTTTGGGAAATCCTTAAAACTGTCATTAAAATTTGACACACACCTCAAATAGGCTCATTTTACCATGCAGACGCTTTTATTTTTGGATAAAGGTAAACATCAATAGTTCACATTTATTGTCCTGTGGGTTTTATTTTGAAAAGCAGATTCTTACAAACTGGAAAGCATCCTGTTAACTTGCTGTAAATAACTTGGAGCTTATATTTTGAATTTGTGAGCCACTCCGAGCATCTTGTGACTTCCTGAAGCAAACACGAAGCTTCCAGAATTCACTCAAATTAAAAAATATCACATGATAAATAAATCATGTCAACGATTAGTCAGAATCAGACTGACTGGCCCGTCAGCTAGCGCAGCTCTGCTACCTGTCAGAGTGCTGCAGCAGAGCTCCATCTTTGCTCCAGCTGATTTTGGGAGGCGGGGATCCCTCCGCAGGGCACCGGATGGTAAGCGACCGTGTGGCGTTGGTGAGGAGCGCGCTGTGTCCGATACTGATGTCGATGTTCTTCTGAAAGGTGGGTGGGACGCTCTGCTGCTGTCTGATGATCGCTGGTCTCTTTGCTACCGTCTCCAGTGGAGAGTGCTCGGACCAGTTGGGCAGTCGGTCTGTGGACGGACCAGGAAGCAAAAAGAAAAAAGGTTATCCTGAGAAAGGAGGCCGAGGAAGGTCAGCCGATGACACGGAGAGACGCCTGATGGGGTTGCATCAGCAATCACAACAAACACGGAGCACTTTATTAGGAACACCTTCATACCTGCAGTGCAGTTCAATCAGTCGTGTAGATAAACGTCAGGAAGTTCACATCAAGCCTCAGAATCACTGAAAATGTTTCTGGCAGGATGAGTGTTGGTGCCAGACGAGCTGACCGCAGTCTGGTACTGATGACCTCACCACAGAAACCCACCCACCGACCAACTAACCTCTTTCCTTCTCACCTTCCTTTAGTCCCTTTTCCTTCAATTGTCTTTCCTGCTCCCTTGTTCTTTATTTTTTTCTTTTCTATCGACAAACTTTTTAATGAAAGACATGAAAAAGTGTTGGAAGAAAGACACCGCCTGCACAGTGTGGTCGGCTGGGTCTCTGCTTACCTTTAGCTTGTCCTCCTCTCCTCGTGGTTCTGGTCCAGAGCTGGGCAGGAGACATGTGTGTCAGCAGGGAGGAGATGAGCTCTGAGGCCTGCTCCTGCTGGATCTCTCCTCTATCAGCCTGCAGCGTGACATTGATCAGTCTCTCCTCCACCCGTGGCTGCAGGGAGGCCACCTGTCCGCCAGCGGGCACCAGAGAAACCCGGGCCCCAGGTCGGATCGTCTTCAGGACTGAGTCGTGGCTGTAGCAGCTGGGCAGCATCTCCTCCCAGTCGGGTCCGGGAGCAGGCGGTCTACCCGCCGACCTGCCGTCACCGCCTATCAGCTGGAGAGTGAAAATGTCTGAGGCGGGTCCTGCCACACATTTGTACACCCCGGTGTCCTCTGGCTCCAGGAACTGGATCTTCAGAGAGCCGGACTTGGTGACGCCCAGGCGCTGGGAGCTGGGTAAGGCGCTGCCATCTTTGAGCCAGCGGATGTAGGCTTTGGGGAACCTTCTGACGGGGCATTTGATGACCACAGAGGTGTTGGGTAAAAGATAGGCGTGGCCACCAACGGTCAGGTGGAGACGCCTCTCTTTACGGGTCTGGATGTAGATGTTGTGCGTGCTAATGAGAGCGGGACACTGTTTGATCGCCTCCTCGTAGCCTCTAGTCTTTGCAGGGCGTCTCACCGGCTGCTTGACCTGGTTCTTCACAGCGGCTTTTCGCGAGTCTTTGGGTCTCATCTGCTTCTTGTGCTCTGTTAGGAATCAAAGAGAGACGACATTTCTTCTCAATACTGTGAATATTTTCAACATTTTTCAACATAATAAAAGTTTAAAGTTTGAGAAACTTCAGAGGAACAATTCATCTTTTTTAGAGGTCACCACAGTGGATCAGCTGCCTCCAGCTCCTCCACCCTCCTCTGTCACACCAACCCTCTCCATGTCCTCGTTCACTACATCCATGAACCTCCTCCGTGTCTTCCTCTTTTCCTCCACCCTGGCAGCTCCATCTTCTGTCCAACACATCCACCATCCAGGGCAATATTTCCTCTCTCACTAAAAGCTGAAATGCTGCTGTACCTGTTCTGGTTCCAACAAAGTTCATTTGACTTATTGATTTATAATCGTTCAAGCTAATTATGGACATTTTTTTTCTTCATTTACGTTTCTACTTTGAAATGATGATGAAATGATGTCAGTGCATGAAACAGTCAAACCAGAATAAGGACAGGTGTTTCCTTATAAAAACACTACATTACTCTTACAGGAAGAAGCTCCTCCTTAAAATAAAACAAACCTTCAGTGACGGCTGCTGCAGTATTTTCAGGGCTCCTGGTCTTCCTCAGGTGTCTGAACATCATCTGATTTAAAGAAGCGGTAACAAGGCAACAAGAGTGGGCGACTTATCCAATGAAACCACTGACTGTATGTAAAACAGACACAGTGCAGTCAGCCGCTGGTTTTGTGACGCTGTATTTCAGCGGCTGCTGTTTGTTTGGAGCCTAACCTGATCGTGTTTGGATGTGGTGGTGGAGCGCTAAGTGAGGCACAGGTGCTGCAAATGAAATGCACTTAATCAGCTGATCATCAGCGGTGCGAGCGTCTCTGTAAAGAGCAGTTCTGACACTTTGCTGGTCTGCAGGTGTGTTAACACAACGCCAAGGAGCACAGACGCCAGCAGAGGTCTTAGACAATCAAACTTCACAATCACTTTGAGTTTCTATTGAATAAATAATGACATACATTAAGGTGTCATGTGTAATTCATCTCAGGTTATATTTTTCTGAGGACTAGAAGAAGTAGAAGAAGGTCCACCTGACAGCCACCTGCCCCTCTCATTGGCTCCTCTGCAACGAGGCGCCAGCTGTTCGCTCACAGCTTTGAGTGTTTGAGTGAGAAGCGCGAACACAAGTCCATTAGTTCAAGAGGCAGGATGTGCTCGTGTCTTTGTTGGTAGATGAGAGCATTTTGAGGATGTTTGCTGCTCAGCATCCTGACTCATTCTCCGCTGCTGAACTTGGGAGTGGGAGGAGTCAGGAGTCACACCTCATGTTATGTCTAGGACACCCTTGACACGCCCCCTCGGCTGGGGGCGTAACAGGACGTCTCCAACATGAACATCATGTTGTTTTCAGCAAGACTTGAAACTAAAGACAGAAAGACGCATCTGCTGCGTCTGCATCTGCTGCGTCTGCATCTGCTGCGTCTGCATCTGCTGCATCTGCTGCGTCTGCATCTGCTGCGTCTGCATCTGCTGCATCTGCTGCGTCTGCATCTGCTGCATCTGCTGCGTCTGCATCTGCTGCGTCTGCATCTGCTGCATCTGCTGCGTCTGCATCTGCATGTGAAAAGTGATGTTGAAGCCTCAGTAAACAGCGACAGCCCGCCTCGGCTGGTTCATGGGGAGCTGGTAGCTTCCTTTATCTAACACCGGCGATATGTACATATGTAGTAAAGCTATTGTTGTGACTCTGACATTAATGAGTCACTCACTGAGTTTAAACTTTACTTTAACAGCTGAGTAACACTGCGCGTTACTGCGTTCTTTCAGAGGTCTTACCCAGAACCTCCGCAGTCATCTCAGTGACCCACGGTGATGAGGTATGTGTTTAGGCTCAGAGGCCCTCTGTGTTTATTTGAATTCCCGACTGTACTTTACTTAACATCGAGCAGGACGGCTAAGTGGATTCCTCAGAGCTTGCGGGGGGACGCGGGTCAGACCGCGTGACACCTCTGCGTCAGCTAAAAGCAGAGTACGTCCTAACAAGTACGAGCAGTTTGGGTCTCTGTGAGTGATGATGGTTATAAACCACGCTGATCGATGGTCATACTCAGGGCATGAGAAAATGCAAACAACACCTCCCTCTGAAAGGGACCCGGCTTTTTGCTTTACACCATTAACTCAAATAAAAGCTGTGAGCTGACGGCACAGACGCCGATACAATGAGCACGATCAGTGAAACAGAAGAGGACATTCTGACTTTTGATATTCGGTCATGCTGAGCAGGGCAGGACTCTGAAACAGTGGGCCGAGCGGCCGTGCACAGATCTACGACTGAGCGCTGAGACCGGATTCATCACATTATGTCTGCTTTGGATTTGTGACCTCAGGAAAGTCTTTTCTTTCTTTGTAGTAAAAACAACTTGGCTGCACTGAGTCCTCAGACTAGAGCACGAGTTAGCGTTTAGCACTTCCTGTTCTCATGTCCTGAAGTTCTTGTTTGTTTTTAGACAAGTGAAATATGTTCTGTGATTAAAAGAAGATCCAATCAGACCATCAGTAAAAGCCCCACTAAAGGTTTTATATGTTCCAACAGGGGTGTGTCTAAAGCAGGGCAAGGGGTGACACCCTCCCCTGAAAATATGGAGGCCCTCCATTAACACCTGTGGACTAGAGTGCTGTTTATTCTACATGTCCAACGCTGCTGGAGGAGAGCAGCAAGAGACAGAGGTGAGGTTTACAAGATGGTAGTGAGGATTGCTGTGGTGGATGGTTGGAGACGTGTCGCTGAGGAAAAGACAGGCTGAGCTGAAGATGTTCAGATGTTGATCGGGAGGGAGACAGGAAATGAGTCCATCAGAGGGACAGCTCAGAGTCAGGCTGAGAGTGGGTGGAGGATGAAGATGGAGCTGCCAGGCAGGAGGAGAAGAGGAGGAGCTCACAGGAGGTTCATGGATGTAGTGAAGGAGGATGCTGGGACAGGAGGAGGTGGAGGCAGATGATCCACTGTGTAAGTTTAGCCCGTGATCAAAGAGTGGGCCTGAACACATCAGCCATCTGGGTTAAAGAGTGAAAATTATAACGAAAAACAAAATGCATTTTAAAGTTTGGTTAAAGCCCAATGTGCAGCTCAGAGTTGGCAGCTGCAGATCTGCCAGGATGCAACGCTGTGCTGCAGCTCTGCTCAGCAGGACACTTTAAAAGGATTCGGGTTATTTGGCCTGTTTGCTGCAGGCGACGTCTGCAAAAAACAAAACAGGTCCTGTGGAAGATATTTCTTTATGCTCAACACAGAGAAAATATTCAACTGATGAAAAAAAACTGCATGCAGCCGCATTTCAATCTACACGACGTAACTAGGTTATAAAATATAAATGTCATTCGATCCGTGTAAAGTTCAGCCGGTCAGGAAAAGACACTCGTCAGCCTTGATAACTTTTAGCCGAGCAAAATATCACAGATCCACACGGAGGTTACCGTCCAGCCAGCAGGCTGCACACATCGCTGCGACGAATCCTTCATTTTGTTGTTGTGCACACGCAGTACGTCTTCAAGTGTTTGTGAAGAAAGAGCCTCGATCACGTGCTTCATCTCTAACACTGAGCCCGGCCGTCGTCCTTTAAACTGGCTCCGCCTCTGTCGCCTGACTACGACGCCGCACCTCTGCCCTTAGTTCGGGGAGACACCAGCAGATTCAGACGCACCACGAGGACAGGAAGCCCGCCCTCGATTTCCAGCAGACGTTAGATGATACTGTAGTTGATGCTGTCAGGATGCTGCTGCTGCTCGCTTCACGCCCCAAATCAAAAATGGAGGATGCTGCGAAGCGGCTCGCGGTGCTGCGATGTCCCTGATACTGCCAGAAAGGTTTTTCATGACATCAGAAACCTGTCAAACATCTACAAACAGGATGATTACACGGCTTGTTTAACGGCTCTTTGCTAAAATGTCGTGGAGTTCATCACCTGACAGAGTCAGACTGTCCACACTTGAAAGGACACAGACGACCTTTAACAGCTCGTGAAGGATTCTTTGGAGCGCTGGGTGCTTTTCTCCTGATCCGCCTCTGATGATCAAACAAACGATTAGTGAGACTGGCCTCCCGCTGATCCACCGTAGCACTGACAAATCCCCACCCCCGTCCTGTGTGACAGATATCACAGCTCGCAATGTTTCCAACTGCCGTCACTTTCTCTAACCATACGGTGACTGAACGTTTGTTACAGCTGCAGCGAGGCCGGCTGGACCAAAGTCTGCAGGATGGGAGCATTGACATGCAAATTCATTTGCAGTAGTTTCACCGCTGGCATCCCGGCTCTCTGCAGCACAAGCTTCCCTCCTCAGTGAGCTGCAGCGACCACGGCGGCAGCCCCGGGTCTCAGCAGGTCTCTCTCTGCTTTTCCTCCAATTCTTTCCATTCAATTATTAAACACATTGAAATTAATGAGAGGGGGAATTACGGCAGTTGCAACTTGCATGCTCCACGTTTTGAGGTTTCAGAGTTGTTCCAAAACCATTTTTAGATCGTCCCGTTTGAGTTTGAGCTTCTTCTTCTCGGGTGGTGATTCAAGCAGGCGCACAAGTTCTGGGCAGAACTGCTCAACCGTCAGACGAGCACCTCTGAAGCAGCCGACGGCTGATTTGCACTAAAGCGTCGTTTCAGCACGGCGTGATCGCACGCAGGACGTGAACATCTGTGCCAGGCGACACACTGAGAGAAGATGCATGTCTGCATGATCACCATCACTGTCTAAGAGTTCAAACGGGACGCTGTCAGGTCTGCCCATAAAGTCACCTGCTTTGACTCGAACACATCTCCTCTGCATCGCGTCCACACAGCTTCCACTGCAGCTGCTGCCGTTACATCGCTCGTGGTTCTTATCTTCTAAACTGACCTGAGGTCTGTGTGAAGGAGCCGTGTGTTTGGTTCCCTGCTCAGCTGCTTGCATCTCTCCTTTCTCATCCCTGACCAACATAAAGAAAATAAACAACCTGAACAATATGAAGAACATTATCTGTCCGTGTGTTCCTACAGGCTGAAACGCAGGAATCATTCTCTGCGAGAGGAAGACGTTTAACAGGCAGCTGTTACGTATTCTGTTGTTATTGATGGTGCTCCAGTTACAGTAAAAGCAATAAAAAACAGAGTGAAGGTCATATTCACTGAAACAAAATGTCATGTATTCACTAAATGTCCCAGCCTCCAGTTTACATGGAAATATAATCTCTCCCTCCCTGCAGAGGAAAGTCAGAGAGCTCATTAGAGCAGCTCGTTTTCACAGTGCTGGGCTGTTTGTTCAGTTCTTCCCTAAAAACTCAGAAGAATATTATAAGCAACAATTCCACACACAAAAGGAAACATTCCCACACTCAGTAGCAGGTTTTCCTGTCAGCACCCTGCGGCCAGTCTGAAAAAATGCAAAACGTCCGTCAGACCTAACAGAAGCAACGAGAGTCCAACAAATCTCGCGGCACAGATGTGTGGGAGCTTTTTCTGTGGCCCTGCTCTCAGATGAGAGCGGCAGCAGTCTGTCTGGTCCTCTCATCAAGTTAAGAACATGTAGAGTTTAAGGCTTCTGAGGCGGGCGGTGCAAAAAGCTTTGGTGAGCGCCACGTCGTGCCAGTCTTATTCACCAGATCTACTGCAACTTCGTTCACTTCAGCTTTATTCACACCTGAGCAGATCCAGGACACAACGGCGAAGAAGAGAGATCTGAAAAGAGCAGAAGCTGTCCGTGCACACCTGAGAAGATGATCTCTAAAAGGAGGACGGCCATGTTTGAATCAGGTAAGGTTTATTTATATGAGCTGATTCTCAGAACTCCTTAAACATTTCATACATGACATCATGTTTATATCGAGTCACCTCGAGCATCTGTTTGCTCTGAAGACACCGGGACTCTTCCACTGACCCGGCCTCGGCCTTCGTCCTGATTAGGCGGTAATATCCGAGGCGGCAGCTGGAAAAAACATTTCCTGAAACACACATGGACTCTCAGGACTCACTGCGACATTTGCGAGGCATTAAGTCACGTGTTGTGCAGCGTGCGGGTGAGTCGAGTCGCGGAGGATTAGAAAAACAGATCAAACGGTGACTCTGATGTTGGACCAACACCGAGGCGTTTATTTCACACAGACGTCAGCGAGCGGCGTCTCCTGCAGCTTGGCCGCAGTCATCACGTGAAGTCATCGGCACTCACTGAGCAGCTGCTGAACCCGATGCGTGATTTTCACATAGGCTTCCCACACAGCATACGTGCACGCATATGGCAAAGAACAGCACGCTGTGTTAGCGTGAAGATTGGCCAGTCCGAGTTCCCTTCAAGCATTCAGAGAGTAAACGCGATGGCCTGATACACCGCACGGGGCCGGGGGTGTAAACACTGCTCAGAGGCCCGAGGGTGAGACTGTTTCACCAAGCTGTAATCTGCCATGTCCCAGCGACAGTCCTCCTCACAGAGAGTTGATATCACAATAAACAACATCCATCCACCCTTTTCTGTCACATCAGGTTCTCACATCACCAGTTGACCTGTTTGGCTCTGATGCACACACGAGGACGACACGCAAACACCACGCAGAAAGCCTCTGGGCAGATGGTGGATTCAAACCCAGGACCTCGAGCTACCCACTGCCGCCCCGGTCCTCATCCATGAAAAACATATTCCACCTGACCCGTCACAATCAGCTGATTTATATTAAAGGAAGCACTGACAAATCTAACCTTCATACTGAGATATCAGCATGTTTTCAGAGTTTCAGGCCCTGTACGTAGACGGGGGTATAATTCAGCATCATCTGTGGATACTGGAGATATTTTGACGTGGCAGAAATCACAGCAAGAAGCAAAGAAAAACACATCTACTGATCAGATGGATGGCGGTTCAATCCCTGACTCTGGTCAGATACCAAAGTGTCCTTGAGCAAGACACTGAGCCCAGAGTTGCTCCCCATGCGTTCACTGAGTGTTACACAGAAAGCACTTACACACTTAGACACAAACTCCTTCTGTGAAAGTCAGACACATGAACAGGTTGCTGGTGTACCTGAGGCTTCTGTTTAAGACTACCGTCACCCAGCCATCCTGTTACCCAGCTGCTCAGGTCAGTCTGCCGGGGGACAGCTAGCGGGGCCTACGCTACCACCGGCTACAGGGGCCTGGCTAGCTAAGGGTTTTTCAGTGGTGCGAATCCGAGTCTCCCATTCAGTGATGCTGGCCTCCAGAGCTGCAAATAGACTACATTTATAACAAGTATCATTACTGCTAAAGGAGGTGGAGGAGTAACTACACACGTGACACAATGAGCAGGAGGGACAGGTGAAAAGGCCATGCTGCTAGCGAGCCGGCTAAGCTAAGCTAAGCTACGCTAAGCTAAACTAAGCTAAGCTAAGCTAAACTAAGCTAAGCTACGCTAGCCGAACCCTGTCACTGTAAATTAGTGAGTGAACACACAGAGTGGGCTTCGGATGAAGCACCTGAAGATTAGACTATGAAATAAGAAGTTATCTGTAAGTTTTTAATTAAACTGGCTACACAAAAACACAACTGTGTTAGAACAGGAACAGGAAGTGATACGCAGAGAGAGCGAACGCCAAGTGACAGCGCCACCCAAAGGAGACCACCAAAAGAGCGGTTCCGCGCACTCTGTGTATGAATGGGTGAATGAGGTTTGTTGAGTGCTCATCTAGAGCAGTAAAGCGCCGTCTAATAACCAGTCTATGTGAATTAAAGTGACTGATGTAACTGGCGTGTCACCTGCCTTTGCCCAAGGCAAAGCAGGTGACACAGCCTGAACACGAGTGTGTGCGTGTAATAAATGTGCATTAAATCAGGCATCAAACCCAGTGTCCCGCACAGATGGTCACAGGAAAAGTGTCTTTTCCACAGGACGGACGTGTTTGTGTGCTCTTACTGGGACAGGCCATCATGCGGCAGGTTCGTACGAGCGGCGGAGACGGTAAACCCGAGCACTGCTCCCTCGCCACCGTCACCTGACGGCCCGCCGCCGTCAGCTGGAGGCACAGCAGCTCCCGGCGCTGGATCCCCAAACCGCAGGACACGGAGCACTGCAGAGGAACGTTAGACACGGCAGAAAGGTTTATGACAGATCTGCAGGACCCCGGCTGGGTCACACTGGCTGATTCTCCTGTCAGGTGTGGTTAAAGTGAGGGAAGAAGGAATTTATTCATTGGAATATTTGATATGCCCGGCACATTACTGTCCTATATTACTGTCCATAGATAGTTTAATGAAGGTGGTAACATATGCCCTGTAGAGAGAATAGACTCAGACTCTATTATTTTATTCCATTGAGCTGGCAGAATAGAGCTGGTCTGTTTGTGAGTGTAAGGCTAATGTTGGTCCTTCTCTGTTAACATTATATAACTTTAGGTTGTTGCACAGTGAGAAATGGTTCATGTTATAAAGTTACATTATGAGTTTTAGAAAGTTGGTACCAAGTGTGTGTTTTCCCCCCAGTAGGCGGGCGTCAGGTATACTGGTGTAGGAGCTTCAGTACATATCGAGCTCAGCACACCCACATCTGGCTCTAGTTACCCCAAACATCTGCAATCAGATGGTTTTCAGTGGCCCAGTCTACCTGCCAGTGTGTTAGCATAAATAAAGTGGGAGGATACAGCAAAACCTGAAATCATGAAAAAGTGACTGATTTGTTCCTGGACTCAGATTTGTACTTTTTTGGCAGAGAGCACTTCTTTGAAGCGGTGTTTTATTGGCCTGAAACAGTTTTGTCCCAGCTGTTATATCATCTGGTTAAGCTATAGCAAACTGTTCACATGTCTGTTCCATTTATTCATTTTTAATGTGAATCGTGTATTTATAGTATTAGTGTTTATAATTTGTTGCCTTTCTTGTTCTTTAAGTTCTTTCCTCCCGATTATTTTCTTTCCGCTTGCTGTCTGAGTTTGATGTCTGCAGAACGGTTGCCTGCTTCTCTAACTGCAAAACAAATCTACCTGAGGGGCTGAACCTGAACCAGCCTGGCTCTTCAGCAGGAATGTGTTACCATGGCAACCACCAAAATTGATTTGTAAAAAAAAATCAAAACGTATCGACCATATTTTAACCCGAATCACTGAAATACTGAGGCAAGCAGCTTCAAGTTACTCGACTTCCTGCTATCACTGAGACACAGGAAGGCAGCTGTAGGTTTTCTCTAACAGTAAGCACAGGAAACAGGCAGGAATATAACGCTGACGTGCAAATTTCATGTACGGAGAAAAAGCTCAGGCTCCTTTTTTAGGATGACATCACTATATCAAGGTTTGCAAGCAAACAAGCAAAGGGTTTCTTACCAGTGCTCGTGAAGAAAAGACAAAGACCTCATGTGATGGTTTCATGCTTAATGGTCTTGTCTCTCCAAAACAAGCTCCAGGCTGGGTTTGTGAGTCCTAACCCTGCTCGCCTGCACAGACCTCTGGTTGGTCAGGCCTGCCTCTAAGCACGCTTCCTGCCCATCTACTGCACTCTGATTGCTGCTGAAGCCGTTTAATCTAACTCTAATTAAAGACACTGGCAGTACAATCCAGCTGCAGCTTAAATCAGACGTTGCACAATATGAAAAAACAATATGACATTTCTGCACTGTGTGCTCACCTTTCCCCATTCTCCTCCTGCTGTGTAGGGCACACAGTCCATATTGCCACAGCCTCTGTTTGTAGCGGGCTTGGTTACCTGGCAGGCGTCGTCCCCCAGCCGCCTGTAGGCCCCCGTGGACAGGAGCTGCTTACAGTACACCTTCCGCACCTGAACACCATCACCACAGGTCTGGGAGCACTGGAGGGAGGAAGCAGAAGAAGAGCGAGGAGGTAGAAAGACAGGGCATTAATCACCCTCCGTACACACACGCTCAGAAAGTCCGTACCTGCTGCCAGGCCTCGGTCTCCCAGGCTGGAGGACAGTCCACCTGGTTGCAGGGCTGCAGGATGGCAGGTCGGAAATCCATGCACGCGTCCTCTGAAATAGTCTGAATATCTTGCTGGTCGACGGACAAAAGACGCATGCAAAACACGCTCCTGGTCTGTATGCCGACACCGCAGGACGCAGAGCAGCCCGTCCACGCCGTCACCTCCCACCTGGCGAGAGAGACGGAGCTTCAGACAGCGAAAGAGGCGAGCTCAATCCTTGAAGCAACAGAATTAATCAAAGGATTAAAAGACGCCTCTGTGTCACCTTGTAAAAGTATGATCAAACACACTAGAATACTCAGGTACTACAAATAAAGAGACGAGAGGCTTCAGGTATGTTGGCATCTCATGTGGGGGAGATGAAACACTCTCACTCTGTCCAGCATCATTTTTAGGTGCCGTTAATCACGATGCAGAGCCGTGCTGCGCGTCGGTTATGTAAAACATGTCTGATGTTGCATCAGCTGAGCACTCAAACAAAACTTCACAGATGTGTTGTGTTATGATGCATGCACCGCACGCATACAGCAAGCTGCAGGTGAACAACAAGCTTGCTCCTCATAAATCTGCTCTGTGCAGTCAGAAGGAGATCTCTAACTGCATGGACGGTGCTGAAGAGCCAATCAACAGCCAGACCAGAAACCTATGAGCCAATCATGTGGATGCACTGAGGCTCACAGCAGTTTCAACTGTGTGGCGGGAGGTGTGACAGTCAGGTGGGAGGAGCCAGAGGCTTTGGACTGAAGCCCCACCCACCTCATTTTTAGTGTGTGAGGGGCAGCCAAACAAAATTGGCATAAAGGTAGGATGACTATGAAGGGGGAGGAGCTAAACCAAATTATACCAGACAGAGGATGAACTGAGAGGCTGCACTGAGGCCAGCATCAGATAAAGAAGGATTACTTTGAACTGTGAATCATGCAAAGCAAAGTCCATGAATCCAAATGTTGAGCCAGACATGAACAGAATATATCTGCTTGAATTTCTCACACAGAAACTTTCTTTAAAAGACTTTTATTCATCTGTGCCGTGACTAACTCCATTCACAGTTTGATGACCTCGGCTTTTCATGTGTCTTGCCAGACATTGCACTATTCGCCTCATTTTAACTTCAGACAGATCTCTCTCTCCACACGCTGCCCGAAAACTGTGATTCTCTTAATAAAGCTGAACGACCTCTTTAAGGAGGTTTCTCTATAATTAACAGGACCTGACAAACTAATTAAAACCCCATCTGACGCTGACAGCAGTTATCTCAGAAGATGTGAGAGTAACACAAGCAAAAACTAATTGAAATGTCGCATGCATAATGATGTGGAACGCAGTGTAAATGTATGCATTTTCTATAACTGTAATAACACATTTAAAAAAGTCTTCACACTGTTTTGTGTAGAGATAATGAGCTCAGTAACATCTGGGCTTTTGCTTGGTTGACCTGATGATTTATCAGTTTGTGTCTTTTTCCAGCTCTTCTGTGTGCTTTGGCTCAGCAGGAAGAGATTTAGTTTAGTGTTGAGTTTTGCTTTGCTTCTCTCATGTCGCTGCACTGATGACTCGATTGGGAAACCCTGAGGAACCGAAGCGGGTTTACACCCAGATCCCAGTTACCCACGAGCGTCAGTCCTGAGCTCAGAAAGAGTGATACCTGTGTGACATGCTCCTGTGATCAGGTAACTTTTTCTCAACCACCAAATCTACACGTGTGGGGAAAGTGGAGTCAGCAACATGCCCACTGTGGGCCATCGGAGCAGCTTCTGTCAGCAAGCATCACCTGAGTTGGGGAGAAGCCAAGTTGTACACTCCGCCGCAGGCATCCTGTCCTCAACATGGGACTAACAGCTATTAAGAGACTACGAGCGGCAAAGTTCCTTAAACACATCGTGACAACCAGCCTGAGACCAAGTCCTGTGCAAAACCACCAAACCATTAGACAAGCTGAACTGTCAGCTTGGAAAGGAAGCTCACCAAGAGTGAGCGACTGGTCAGGGGTTGTCAGTAAGCCAGATGGACAGCCCAGCCAGGTGAGGGACCAACCAGGGGAGGGCCCAACCAGGGGAGGGCCCAACCAGGTGAGGGCCCAACCAGGTGAGGGCCCAACCAGGTGAGGGACCAACCAGGGGAGGGCCCAACCAGGTGAGGGACCAACCAGGGGAGGGCCCAGCCAGGTGAGGGACCAACCAGGGGAGGGCCCAGCATTGTGGAGCCTGATTGGCACTTGTGTTCATTGGGCTTCCTGCTGCTTTCCTGGAGGATGAAGGAACTGATCCATTAACTTCCCCCCACGTCCACCTGACCTAAATCCAACACAACACCTCTGGGATGTTATGTTTCCTCAGACCCGGAGCTCAGTGGTCCAGATCTGGGAGGACACCATCTGTTGTCACATTAGGAGCATGCCCTGACATTATCAGGCTTATACACAAGCTCCCGGGGCCCTAAAAACTACTGAGTATCATTTTGAGCTGCTGCAATGACATATGAACTAATGTGACTCGCCTGCTGCATCATTTTTTCAGCCCTCTGTATTTTGATTATTCACATTCCCAGGTCCATATCAGTATAGATATCCCGCATGATTGTTTTCACGTTGAGGTCTCACGTGTTTTCAAAGCGTTCCTTTATTTTTTTCATCACAGTATTTTTCACTTCACAGATAATGTTTTGAGCTGCTGGTCTCAGTTATTTGCTGCACAAAAACCCCAACAAGGACAAGGCTGCATAATCCACTCTCACTGTGTGGGATACAAGATTATTCCCAAATGTCCGACCTGACTGCTGACGGCGGTGGACCACAAACTACACACCGACCTCATACAGAGCGCAGGTGTCTTTATGGTGTTCTTTCAGTTCACAAGGTCAGAGAAACCACAGGGAGAGACACGAATCCCAGCTGAGGAGAATGATGTATAGCAGTCACATGCACAGGCTGAGTGGGAGAGAGTTATAGACACAGCAGAAGAGGGAATAGGGGAGGTTCTCCACCTCCCCGCGCTCTCGCTGCTGGACTCCCAAACTCAGGCAGCGGGCTACACCCCGGGAGTGAGGGGTATTACTCATGTTGTAGGGACCTAAATCTGTTCACACAATCATGTTATGAGCAGAAAAAGCAAGTCAGCAAAACATAAATCATCACATTTTAATGTGAAGACATATTTTAAGGTTAAGGTAAGTCTCCGAATGAATCTATGATGCACCGTCCTCTGAAATCGTGTGTGTGTGTGTGTGTGTGTGTGTGTGTGTGTGTGTGTGCGCGCCTGCTCTCTGCAGCTGCTTCCTGTAAATGTCCATTAGAGGAGGAGGGAGAGATAAATCACTGCGTGTGAATCAGTTTGTAAGACTACTGGACGGGCAAACATCCATCCGGTGCCTGGAAATGTGCTGGAAACTTAGAGCTCACACACCCACTCACGCTGCTGGCTGAATATCAGGAGCACATTACGCTTGTTGGGATTCAGAAAACGGGTCATAATCAGAATATGTAATCAAAGTGTAAAACTGAGAACAATGTGAAGCAGATTTGTGTGTTTGAGATGTGTTTTTGGCTTCATCCTCTCACTAATGTTACAACAAACACATGTGAAGGCTTCTAACTGCTGTTAACGACACTGGATATACAGGATATACTGTGAGGCCACTGTGTGCTCATCATTTCCTGTGCTTAATGGCACTTTGGCAGAGCTGGACTTTGCTTACTCCATGTGTAAGGCTGTTGAAAACAGTGCAGCGCAGGCTCAGCTGGGAACCTTCTGGTCAGCCTGGTGCTGCTGGTGTGATGATGTAGAGCAGCGGTCCCCGACCCCCGGGCCAAAGGCCGGGCCGTGGGAGCTGAGGCTCGGTGTGAAATGTACAGTTTTCAGGGTTTTTATCCTTAACTCGGTTGCCCTGGGTCTTTCCCGTGTTGTAGCTGTGTGTCTTATTTTGAAAGAAATATTTACACGTTACCATAGCGACCAGAGAGCATTAAGGGGCAGAGAGGAGGATGCATTTACATGTACACACAGGAATATGTATGTAAATACACACACGTATGTGCTCAGACAAAACAAAAATAGAAAATACATAAAATAAAATAGTGTAAATGAAATTACAATGATTAAGTCTGAAATGAAGTAGGAAGAAGTATAACATACGTATTAGTTCTACTGAATCCCACTGTTCATTGTTACGCCTAATTCCCGTCATCACTTACCCCACACAGCAAACAAGAATGAAGGACATGTACTAACATAGCTACAGTGATAGATAGCATAGTTACATAAACAATGGCTCATCAACTTTATCAGTTTCACATTCTTCCAAAAGCAGTTTTCGAAACATCTTTATGAGCTGACTAATGCTTGAACGTTGCTGTAGGTCCACAAACAGCAACACAAAAGGTTTGTCCGAGTCTTCAGGTTTAATTGTCCCCTTCTCTGTCAAAAACATCCTCTGTTCTTTTCCTGGTAACATATTGTATCTGGCTTTGTACATAATTTTTGCAGTTTTATACTTTACAAGATCCATAAACGTCAGAATTTTTAATTTCAAGAACGTAATGTTAGTGTGGTCTCTAAATCCTGCTTCAGTAATCATCCTGATTGCTTTTTTCATAATGGCTGAAGTGAAGTTTGGTGTGCATTTCCCAGATTTCCACACAGTAAATATGCCAAATATGGCAGTGTAAGTGTACAGTGAAGTACCTGGAGTGATGTGGAAGGCAAAAAATGTTTAGCTTGTATATGCTTCATGTGAGGTTTCCAGCAGATTTTGTCGTCTATTATCACACCCAGAAATTTTGTATGAGAAACTTACTTCAACATTATTTATCAACAAGCATCTTTTTTACAGTTTCCAAACAACATAAACGTAGTTTTATTCAAATTTAGTGAAAACTTGTTTCTGTCAAACCATGTTTTCAGTTTAATCATCTCTTGTATGACAATTTAAAAAAGCTGCTGTGAATTCTCTCCAGCACAAAAAATATTTGTATCATCTGCAAATAAAATAACCTGTAATATATCAGATGTTTTACATATATCATTGATGTAGAGGATAAACAGCTTTGGTCCCAACACTGACCCCTGTGGAACTCCGCAAACAATCTCCAGGCACTCTGATAATCACCAGGCTTCACAAATTGTTGCCTGTCTCTCAAATAACTCCTGACCCACTCTAGCACCACTCCTCTAATGTCACAATACTCCAGCTTATCAAGTAATAGTTCATGATTGTGTCAAAAGCTTTTTTTAGGTCAATGAAAACACCAACTGTCTTTGACCTGTATTATTGGTGATATTTTCAATTAGTTCCATTAAAGCCACGGATGTCTGAAACCACACCGACTGTCCATTATTATTTTGTGTTTATCTATAAATTTGTCAAGTCTATTAATGAAAACTTTTTCCAGTATTTTTGAAAATTGTGAAAGTGAATTTGTGTCTATCTCCCTTTTAAACTGTGGTATTACTTTAGCTGTTTTCATTTGTGTTGGGACTGCAGCAGTTTGTAGAGACAAATTGCAAATGTATGTTAAAGGTTTGGAGATGCCGTTGATAACTTTCTTAACGATTTCCATATCAATGTCATCAAAGTCTGCAGACCTGTTTGTTTGTGATCTCCCAACAATATCAATGATTTCCTTTTCTTCTGAACAACATTGAATGAGGATTACGTTCAATGAGTTGATTTCAAGAGGAAGCTGCTAATAAAGTTACTCAATTACACAGTGAATTTGCGTTTATTATAAAGGCGAATCCACAGTTTTTGTCTTGGTCGCATCCTTTTATCTTGTTGTATTTATCTGCAGCACCTTAAAGGCCGGTCTGTGACATTAAACCGGTCGGTGGCGCAGAAAGGTCGGGGGCCGCTGATGTAGAGGCTGAGCCTCCCTCAGCCGGTTATGATGCTTCAATAGATTCTCAGGAATATGAGAACAAAGACCTGCAAACATCCATCGTGACTGTCGACGGATGCTGAGGCAGCTCTGGCTCCTGCGTCACACGTTCGATGCTCTGTGGGAATTTACAGTAAAGCGCGACTGTGTGTGTTTAATATTCAACAGTAAATAACTGACGTGTCTTTGGGTTGATACAGCATGTGTGTGCGCCAACACACTGTGTTATATAATTATGTTGCTCTGACATCAGCAGGAGCGTCCCTCGGTGCTCAGCAGCCACGCAGCCTGCCGGTGTTCCCGGACGCTTCGCCGCAGCCCGGCCGTCTTATTGTGTTTATTCAGTAAACACGGCGATTACATCGGCCCGCAAACCCTCGCTGCACTCCCGGCTCTAATCCACGTCTTCATCTGAGCTTTCCTCTACTGAGCTTAAAACAAGAACGAGCTTCGGTTTCAAAATAAGCGAGCATCATCTCACTCTCTGTTCTTCTGAAATCAGACCGTACGCAGAGCGCCCGGCGCCTCGTCCACAGGGTTGCGGTGGTGATTCAGAGACGGGCTGGCACAGCCTTATCTCCTCCGTCAGTCTAGACTGCTGACATCAGCGTTCCACCCTCTCTGCTTTCACATCTCATTAAGGCGCAGCGAAGAAAATCGAGCCAAATGTTGGAACGCACAAATACACAAATTTGTACCAAGTTTCATGCTTTGGAACGTTTTCCATGAAGCACGTGGAGTTAAAAACTCGCCCTCGTTCGTTTCAACACATCTGTGTGAAGCTGATCAGTCGCACAGACGGATCAGGTCACAGAGGCTGCAGGTGACTGGAGGGTTTGGATCCAGCTGACAGACCACCTGCATGTGTTGTGACAGCCTTACACTGGGTTTTAAATGTGCAGTAGGCATTTGAGCTGTTTGACCTGAGACATCGTTTCCGTCATCATCACAGGCTCTGAAAATGACTTTAAAGCCAGAGGTCTATGAGGAGGGCGCGGCGTCTTATCTGTTTGATCTACATTTTAATGTTCAGATCCTGTCGCCTGTGTAAACATGACTGTCTGTGGCAGGAATCCAGCATCATCATCTGTTCAGGTTGGATAACTGGTGGAGTTAACGTATCTTCACTGAAACACGGTCACGTTTCGCCTAACGGAGGCTCTGCTGTTTATGTACCCGTCGCCATGGTGAATCCTCGTAGCGCAGCTCCACTGATGATGGCACACTTTCATGCACAGACACACAAAGTCGACTGGATGAGTTTCCCGTCGTTCCTGTCCCTGAACTGGGAGCTGATGCAGTGGGAGTTTGTTAAAGCAGCTTTCTGGAGACATTGCCTGGATCCCAGCTTTGACTGAACCAGCCTCCGGACTTTATCAGCTCAATAAAAGCTTCATTGTTGTTGCTCCGCCTTCGTTTTTGGAGCTTCTTTCAACATCATACCAGAATTAACTGATCGGAACAACAAAACTCGTCACTGTGATATTTCGAGGCAGAATGCAACAAACCACAAGTTTCACGTGAATCTGTATTTGAATGAAACAGGATAAAACACTGAAGTCGCTGCATTTTATATGAAGTCAGAGGTCAGTGTGGAGAAATATGACTGTAAACTGTTAGTGGAGGCTCATTCATGACCCTGTTAAAGACGGAGCCAAAGGAACCGCCCACCCTCACACATGAACACACACCCTTCACATGTACAGTAATGATTTAACTAACACCGATCAGTGTGTATGGTGTGTGTGTCTAATCGTACTGATGTCTGTGACCAGGCTCTTTACTGCAGAGTCAAATCGGTCTTTGGTTGTTGGAAAGCGCGTGGCTTCAACAATGCACACGCTGTTTGTGGAAGTCATAAAATTGAAATCAGAAAGGTTTTCCAGAAACTCTTCTCTGTGAGCCAATAGGAGCCCAGCAGGTGATGTGAGCCTGCATTGGATATTCTGCTCAAAGGCTGACCGGCAGCCAAGCGCACAAATTACAGAGGACAGAAAATTCAGCTGTAAACACTCCAACGCGTCGCAGAGGCCAAGGCTGTGGTTATTTCTGCTCGAGAGCGTCTGCTGCTGAAGAGACACTGGCTCCTCTGATTATTCATCTCAATCAAACGTCGACATCTAGCAGCTCGAGAGCTTAAAGACAGACCTGCATCTTATGGTTTTGATGTGAGCAACACTTGCTGTTCACATGATGACATCTGTGAAAAAAAAAGGTTTTCTTGCTATTTTCCTGAAGATACTTTTTATAAGGGACAGAGTATCCTGCATAAACTGCCATCCCTGCTGAACCTTTACCCACGTATGCAGAGCAGAGCTGACAGAGGAAGAAACACACGGAAATCCCCCAAAGCTGCAGTTCCACTAATGTCCAGCAGAGGCTGTTTACAGCCTGATGCACATAGTTTGGTCTCTGTACACAGGGCTGCACATAAGTGCTCTGCAGGTGCACATTCGACATCTTTAAGAGTTCTAAACAAATGTCTGTCCTCCTCCAGAAAATCTTATGTACACAAACGCGCGTTGCAACGTCTTATCTGGTGCGCGTCTTTTATTTTGACAGCGAATGTGCACCTGCAGAGCACTTATGTGCAGCCCTGTCTATAGACAGTTTCCCCCTTCATGACACCTGTACAGGGGGGAGAATGTTTTTGTAACACAGCTGTTTTGTATTAAGGCTTAATGTTTGCATTATTAGGGGCGTGGCCTGACACAGGCAGCTGTAGCTGCTAGTACAGCTATTAAAAAGCAACCCCGCCCTTCTTCCTTGACTGAAGAAGCACTAATATTCATGCTTGTGATGCACAAATGCTTCAGCTTTCAGCCCCATCGCTGTATTCTGCTCATGCAGACTGTGAGCTTTCTCCGTGTCTTCGGTGACCTTGCGGTCTCTTACCTTGGGGGGCACGGCTCAGGGTTACAGATGCGGATCATTACCGACGGCCTGCTGGATGGATCGCACAGAGCGTCGTCCACCTCCTCATCTTGCTTCCTGTTCACACACCTCACCACTGCTGTCTGCTTGCCTGGGCAGAGGAAATACAGACAAATGTTTAGAAGAAGCATCAGCATTTCAGCTGCGAGCATCCGATCGGCAAACCTCACCGGCAGCACACGTGGCCGAGCAGGCAGTGAAGCCTCTGAAGTCCCAGCTGTGCAGGTCGTCAGCCTGGAACAAAGGAGCACCGTGGTCTCGGACTGCGGTGGCTCTGGTACACGGCCCGTGGTTGCAGGGCCTCTCCAGCTGGGGCCTGTCCCCGCCACACTCCTCCTCTGGAAGGTCCACCTCCGTCTTGGTGAAAGTGAGCAGCACCTGACATTTCACCTCCCGAGTTTGCCTGCCAGGGCCGCAGGTGGTGCTGCAGGGGGACCAGGGCCCGGGTATGAATCTGCACAGGACGAGAGCAAAAGTCTCCATTAAGTCCTTCAGTGGTGACGTCACGTGGTCACTTCAATGTCTGCAAAGCTCATTTCCAACCTTTCTTTGTTACGAGCTTAGCTTGCATCTGCAATTTATTCATTTAACATTTTTAGAGTGTGATGAATATTTTATTTGCACCAAAGACATCACAGTTAACTAAAGCTAAACGTCTTTGGCTTGAATGGACCTTTGCTGGGTGACCACTTACATGTGTGACTGCTATAATCATGCTTACATATGTGTGTTAATCTGTGTGCTCATCATCCTGATATTTCTGGTCACTCTCAACATTTTTAAGCAAAAATAGAAGATAAATTAAATTAGCACACCCACTCTAAACCCACCTTTAAAACCTGAATAACTGATTTGCCAGACGTCCACAGATTCAGTTTTTCAGGATTGTTTTGTCTGCGTATTTATACATATCTCAAATATAAAAGTGTGTTTTCACCATTCCTACACGACAACATGTACGTGTTGTTTCTGTGTCATTGCGTGTTGTATGGTGAGATCATTCGCTTGAGCCTCTCGACTGTAGGCCGTGACATCACCGTGACATCACCCACTGGTGAGTGGAGCCTCAGGCGGAACATTTACATCGTTGCCAGCAAACTGGACGTGATGAGCGAGGACGCCGCTCACTCACTGGCTAACAACATGTGGTTGACATGCTGTTTTCCAGAGGGGGCGCCCCCTGCTGGTCACTACAGATAATGCAGGTTTGAGGTACTTGGAGGAAAAGCAGCAGTAAAGGGAGCTTGTTGCTGGGCGGGAACTTTGGGCCAATAAAGAAATGGAAAATTCCCGAGAGGAAATGTTTCTGATAAATTCAACATTAAGTTTTACGTTTCTATAACTGTGACTCAGCTGTGATATGAAGGTTGTGGTATCGTAGCTTCCATATCGAATCCATGAATATCGTGTTGAGTTTCTTTTTTGAATTTCACATTGTCCAACCTCCAAAGATTCATCAATAACGCCAGTCGAAGTGAACGATATTCACAGATCCCAGAGCGAAGCCTGAGTTTGAAAATCATTTGCAGGAAAAATAAAGCATTTGAAGTGATTCCCCTTTTTTCACTCTACAGTCATTTATGGAATCAAGTGAACACACAACTCTGTCTATGCGCAGCAGATAATATGATGGACAAACACACCGTCGTGCTGAGGAAACAGCCAACGCCGCTGCTGCCTGGCAGTAAAGCGAAGAATAATAACCAGAGCTGCTGACTGACAGATGCACAGCAGCAAATGTGCGACCGTGAGCTTGTTAAGACAAATAAGCAGAGAGATACGTTCCCTGGAGGTCAGACTCTCAGCTCCCTGGAGGGGAGGTGGCATATATTTAGACAGAGTTCTGTGACTGGGAGGTAGGTTAGAGCTCAGTCACCGTCTGACAGGTGAGACGGAAACGTGCAGAAATAAGGAGGGAAAAATGCAGAATATAGCTGCGATCAGGCTGGAGTGATAAAACCACGCCTCGTCTGCATCAACAGATCCACCGCACCGAGGCGTGACTGCAGGACTTCTGGGTAATCCTCTGACGTCTGTGGTGCGTCCCACAAATGATTTACAGGTCTGGGAGTTCATTATCTGTAATGCTAATGCTAACTAGCTTATGAAGCTGCATCCACAGACACAGTCCTGCTATTTCACCCAAGCTGGAGCTCAGACTTCCTGGACAATCTGTTAGTGCGGCTAACCTCACAGCAGCCATATAATGATCCCAAAAAGGCTCCAACAGCACAAACATAGTCCAGATGTGCAGCTCAGGTGAAGCCTGTGTCACCATCCACCTGTCAGTCACAGAGGCCACGCCCCTAATAATGCAAGGGTGTGGTCATGTTTATATCTATGCTGCTGTCGGCTGTGCTGTGCTCAGGTGGAATGGATAAATGCAAAGAGACCCGATGAGCATCGCAGTCGGTGTTAACAGTACGCGTTTCTCCCCTTTAATATGCTTTTTGCAGCACGCGGTGTAATTACCACGTTTCCAGTATGAGCCTCACATGCTCACCAAATTAACGTGGCTCAGATAAGATTAGCTTGGCTGCGTGTGAAGACGATTTGTTGGCGCCCGCTGAGGGCGCGTGCACGGGAGGTGTTTCAAGAGCATGTTTGCAAAGTCTTTGATGAGCAAATGTGTGTCTGCCAAGTGTTTGAGGTGTGTGTGAGCTCAGAAAGCTGATGGATCCCAGGGAGGCTATCAGACCGACCAGACCCTGAGCAGCAGGCGATAATCACATGCTTATCATCAGCCGCGGTGGGAGAGGAAACACACCCGGACAGATTCACACAGCCCTGGTGTGTGTGTGTGTGTGTGTGTGTGTGTGTGTGTGTGTGTGTGTGTGTGTGTGTGTGTGTAGGATGATATACCTGCAAAGGGTTTGTGCTACCTGAAAAAGAAGCGTAGACTGTGTCAGAGCGACGTGAACCTCTCACACGGTGTTTCAAGAGTTCTGGGTTCAAGTTTTACTTAATGAAACAAACGTGCTCCTCAGTATAAAAACTGAACTCTCATCTACAACAGCATGAGAGTATGGAGACCCCCGATCAGGCGCTCCCCATCTGCTGTAATGACAGACACAAACTCTTCTGCTAAATTCACACTGTCAGGACAAAAAGTCTAAAAATACTTTGCAGCTGTAACAGCCTCGGCTCTTCTGGGAATGCTTTCCACAACATTTCGCAGTGTGTTCATGGGAATGGTTGACCATTCTTCCAGAAGTGCATTTGTAAGGAAGTTTCACAGGTGGCATCAGCACCACGCTGGAGTTCACTGAGCTCCTGAGAGCGAGCCGCTCCTTCACAAACGTTTGCAGGTTTGCCCAGGAGCTTGATTTCATACACCTGCGTCCATGGATGTGATGGAACACCTGAATCGATCATTTGGATGGGTGGGTGAACACTTCTGAGGTAATAAACCTCAGAGAAACAGGCTGTGGTCTCCTCACTCTTCACTTTTCACAAACCCGAACAGTACAGCTAACACATGATGAAGAACACTTACTGCTGAAGAGACCGAGTGAAAGAGCACAGTTTATCCTCTTTTACCCAACACCAGACTCTGAGCTTTTGTTCTGTCACCAGTTAGCTAGCATAACCTAATGTAGGACTAGCAGTAACCCACCAACCAAGTCAGCCACCTCGTGTCATGTGTGAGCGGCACGTTTTTGGTGCAGGGCTCCAGGGTCTACAGGAGGTTACCTGACCTGGATTTGGTTTAATGTGCACATGCAGCATGATGAAAGCCACGATTCTCTATGGACGAGTATCAACAAACTAATACGTCCCGTTTTCAGTCACAGGACGTCGGAGGCTGAGTACTGAGACGCAGCTGCTGTCCTGGAGGAGACAGGAGGTCTCTACACAACCTTCTGATGTCTTCTCTGTCCAGCAGCTGTAACGGGTCATAAATTACATATTGTTATAATTACATGTGTTCTAGTACTCAAACCGTCTCTTTCAACACTGTAAAAAACACATATACTGTATATTTAGCCACCCTGATGTTCCCGATCGCGTGTTTTTAGTTCCATTATTGTCATCATGGTGTCTGTCTTTGCTAGCTGCTGTAAATGTGCTGCATATGTGTTATAGGCACAGTCAATGCTAGCATGAACAGATAATTCCTGCTAGCTTGGAAGTTGGTTGCATTGGGTTGTAGGAGCTGGAGCGAGCAAGTTGGAGGTCTTTCTTTCTTTTTAGCTTTCATCGTCAGACACAACCAGGAACACACCGGTTACACAGCCACCAACTTAATCCAGGAGAACAATAACTTATAACCAACCTCAGGCCTGCGTGAGGATTATTTGAGGAGAAGAGTTCTCCAAACACGACTTCCTCCTGAATCACCCAAACTAAGACGGCTTGGATGAGTTCAAGGAAAAATTATTAACAAATGCTGTTAACTGAGCTTCTGCTCAAACTGCACGATTGACTCGCAGGGGTTAGAAGTTCGTAGGTCACGATGCTCTGATGCGACCTGAGTGCTCACACTGTGCGTCCATAACATGAAGCTTATAACAGAAAATCTGTCGCTCTCCCCGTCTCTGTCTTTCACTCACACAGACACACCACCACCATCAACTTTGCTAAATTGCTAATGAAAAACATTGATCAGCTGTGATTGAGCAGCAGTGTCGATCCAACTATTTTCACGGTTGTTGTGGTCGTGATAATTTTGTGAGGCCACATCGAAAAGGCTCGGATGAGCCAAAGTTCTACAAGTTGTGCCTCCATCGCTTGTGTCCAGATCACACGCCGCCGTGCTGCTCCGTCTTTTCACTTTCATTTCTGTGTTTGTGCGTGCGCAGTGTGCGAGGCTGCGGTGACGCCCTCACGACGGCCGACAGGATTTCAAACAGGTTTGATTTTCTTACGACCGAACGATTGATGATCGGGAGCTGGTCGTGAGGTGTTAATCGCTTCTCGTTATCCCACGTATACTACACGATGCACGACGCACGATGAAGCCGATCCCCAAAACGGTCGCACGACTGAAAAATCGGCTCAAAATGAGCCAAAAATCACAAAGTGTGAGCCCAACATACACAGAGAGGCTCTGCCCAGGTGGTGGGATCGAGCTCAGGGCCTTCTTGCTGTGCTCGTGCAGAGCTTTCTCTAACACACTGCTGTGATGTGCTGTAGTAACAAAGGACTGAATGAATGGAGCCACCTTTGAATGGATCAGGTGTGTGTGTGTGTGTGTG